GGGCAATCACAACCGTGAAAGGGAGGCCCAAGGACAGCACCCAACCCGCGCAGTCAGGGTCCCGGGCTGCTCCCGAAGCTCCTCTTTCCCTGTGGTCCCCTCAGAGGGGTGCTGGCAGCAGAGTTTACGGAGGTTCCCTGTCCCGGTCTCTTCTCAGCTGCCTTCAGGCAAGTTGCTGCCATGGGACGCCAGAGTCCAAACAACTCTCCCAGGCAGGGCTCTGCAGGAGGGGCTCAGGTGACCGCCTAGCTCTGCCTCTGAGCCGGCTAGAGAGGAGCTGTCCTGCCCCCACTCCCGGTGTAGGAGGGAACAACTAGAATCAGGATCCTGCTTGGCTGTCCTGTTTGCTGCTGGATCCCCAGTACCTGGCTCAGGGTAAGCGCTCAGGAAATATTTATTTATTAATGTATTTTTTCTATTTTTTGGTTATTACTATTTATTGAGTTAATGGGCAGACTCACACCCCACAGAAGCTGGGGGGTCCTGGCCTGACTTGCGGGTGGCAGGTGGAGGCATCAGCCCCTGGGGGATGTCTAGACCCCATCTCCTAGCCTGAGTCCTCTCCCTTGGGGGGATCCCCGTGTCCTCAGCATGTGGGATGGAGTAGAGGTGAAGAGAAAGATCTGACAGCTGGGCTGGGGCTCCCCACCACGTGCCAGGTGACCAGCTCAGCACAACCATAGAGGGCAGTGCTTCCCAAGCCAGTCTGCCCCTTAGAGTCATCTCGGATCTTCCAAAAATGCCAAAGCCCAAACCGACTAAATCCCCCTGGGGGTGGGGCCATGTACTAGTATTTTTGAGACTCCTCAGGTCCTCCCAAGGCACAGACAGGCTTGGGAACCTCTGGTAGCAGCTTTATATCTTCTCAAAGCCCTTGCATATATCCTCTTTCTTACTTTAACCTCAAATTAAGATTGCCTGTTTCACAGGCAGGGCAAGGTTTTGTTTAAAAAAAAAAATGAAATAAAAAAATACACATATTTATTTATCAGATTCAATTGGTACTCCCTACAGAAATATTAGAAATAAAAAGAAGAAAATGAAAACTACCAGTCTTGCCCTTTGGTGACAGTTACTGTTGGCATCTGTTTTATTTCCTCCCTTCTTTACAGTTGAGGAAACTGAAGTAGAGAAGCATTAGTAACTTTCCCAAGGTCATGATGCTGCCAAAGAGCAGTTAGGACCTGAATTCAGGGCGTTAATGGGGCCTGTCCCACCAGGTTTTTGTGGGGCCTAAAGGGGCTGATGCATGCCAAGGGCACCCACTCTGCAAAGAGGGGCTCAATAGGGAAAGAGGGAGGCAGGCCTCAGGCTGGTTTCTACGCTGTCATTGTATGTTTGGAGCAGAACGGAGTCCAGGCTGGAACCCAATGCCATGTTTACCACCGAGCTCACGGCCACACCTGAGGGAACTGCTCCAACGCGTCTTTGCTGGGGTCTGCGGTCTCATCCTGCTGGTGGGCTGTTGGCTAACGGGCTCCTGCTGCTGGTGGTGGGTCGGGGTGCAGGTACCGCCTGCCCTCTCCTTGCCCTGACCACAGCCCCGTGGTGAACATCACATTGTCTGACCTGCTCTTCCTGGTCTGCGTAGTGCCTGTGTTGGGGCTGAGCTTCCTGCGGCATGACTGGTGGCTGGGCCCCACCATCTGTACCACCGGCCAGGCCACCAGCAATGCCACCACGTTCTGCACCTTCTATGGCATGGTGGCCACAGCTCCTCTGTGCCATGTGGCAGTCATCCAGCCTGACACGGCTCTTTCCTCAGGCTGGGGTACCTGCCTGCTGCTCTGTGGGGCCACGCGGTTCCTGGGGCCTCACTGCCTCATCGCCCCACCGGCTGTCCCGGCGAGTGGTAGTGGAAGCAGGAGGCCACAGGAGCCTGGGCCTGCCTCTTGCTCCCAAGCCCTGCTCAGCCCTCCTGCTACTTCTCCCTGCTTGGAACCCTGGCCTCTCTGCCTTGTGTGCTGGGGCTGGGCTGCTCTTTCAGTCATGCGGGCTGGCTCCTGTGGGCACAGCCTCGTGGCCCCATGGGGAGAGCTTTCAGGAGCACCAGGAAAACACAGAGCTTATGCTTATAGTGCTGGAAGTCTTTGTCCTAATGTGGGGACCCTGCTCTGTGCTAGGTTATGTGGCGGCCATGGGGGGCCTGTCTGCCACACCAGTGGCTTCCGTGGCATACAGACTGCACCATCCTGGCCTACTCCAGTTGTGCTGTCAGCCCCATCCTCTGCTTCTACCTTTCCTGCTCCTTCCAGGCAGGGCTCAAGGACCTCTTTTGTAGGCCCATGGCAGCCCGGCAGCCCAGAGGTGTGAGAGGCGTTGGTATGGTGATGGGCCATGTACAGCCTGGCTATGACAGGGCCCCAGGAGGCCTCTGGGTCTGGCGGGGGTCTGAGAGCATAGGCTGATGGGAGGGATGAGATTCAAGAGGGATGGGAAGACTGAAGTGATATTAGAGCCCATCCCTTCCATTTCACTGGTGTGGAGACTACTATCCAGAGAGGGCAGGTGGCCCAGCAAAAGCGACACAGCAAAGAAATGGCACTAGGTCGATGCTCGCATTCCACCTTGGGGTCAGACACCTATAGGCTCTACTACTTTCTAGTTATATGACTGTGAACAAGTCCCTTAACCTCTATGTTCCTGTTCCCTCACCTGGAAAATGGGATAATGATAATACCTTCTTCACAGAGTTTATGAAGATAAACTTAGTTAACAAATACAAAGTGCTTAGAAAGTGCATATGAGTCTTGGTTATTCCTATTATTACTATTATCAGTTTATTTTAATTAATTCAGGGGCACTTGAGTGGACAGGAGGATGGTCAAGGGGCCCCCAGAGCAGAGGTGTAGGTAGAGGAATGGTCTGGGTGCTGGCAGCCTGGGGTCCTAAATCCTGAAGGCCTGGGGATTGAGTGGGGGTGGGGGAGGTGCAGCTGCAGCCTGGGCGAGGGCTCCCACCCAGAAGAGCCTCTCAGCCCTCTCCCTTTCGGCCTGCTCTCCCCCAGCTCTGTCACACCTCTCAGCCCAAAAGGGAACACAAAGTTAACTGTGGAGCGATGAGTCTGGCCTGTGAATTTCTGAACACCTCCCTTCTCTGTGGTTTCTCTTCCCACCTGGCTGCGGTAAGGGCCCCTTTCTTCTCTCCAGAGCCACTGGAGGTCTCCACTTCTCCTACCCCATCTCTCCCAAGAAACTCCCAAACTCCCTGCCCTCCCTCGGGCCTCCCAAAAGCAGGCCTCCAGCTTTTAGGCTGGCCTGGGAACCAGGGAGACTGTCTCTACTGAAATTCCCAAGACAACATGTTCTGCTTGGTAATTGTGTCACAGCAAATTGTTTTAGAGAACAACACACGCACACACAGCACACTGACTCAGTGGTCAAAGGGTTGAACAAAGTCAAACTGGACTTTTTGCTGCTTATCAGAGCTTCTCAGAGACTCTGAAAGGGGCTCAGAGCAGGCATTTTCCCAAAATCCATGCCAGGGAACTAGCCTTCCATGGAACACACCTTGCAGGAGAATCCAGAAGAGAAGCTAGTGTCAAGCACAGTGACAATGCTTTGGGTGCCCTGCGGCAGCAGCTCTGAGCCTCCATTTGCCTGCCAGACTGGCATCTCCTCCCGACGCTTTCCCACAAACCGGTCACTGGTGATGGGAACTTCCCACTCAAAGCCTATCGGAATGCAAGTCGGAGGGGCATCTAATTACAGGGACAGCTGCGAATCAATTCAAATTGCTGTAAGATCATAGTAGTAAACAAGTCCCAAACTCGGTACTATTAGTACCAAGTTTCTTTTGATGTGAGGATTGGGAATGGCTGCCTGGTGGGCTAATTTGACAGCAAGCATGCCCAGAGAAGGGATGAGTCCCCTTTCCCTGTGATCCTGGGCCCTGATAGAAAGAGACAAGGAGGAAGATGGTATTTATTGTGCATGTCATACACTTCACGTGCTCATGTCCACAAGTCACTCCATTTGGCCACACTACAATCCTGCAAGAGGCGGGGTGCCAGTCCCGTCACACAGAGGAGTGGTAGCTCATTCTGGGCACATAGCCTGTGAATGTCCAGGCTGCTCCAGGAGTACCCCTTTGGTGCCCACAGACCCTGGCCCCTCCCAGGGGCTTGGCATGGGTACCCCAAGGGTATAGGATTGTCTTGCTCATTGCTCCAGAGCAGGGGGAGGGTGCAACTGTGTATGAATCAGTGTCTCCAACCTGAGAGAGCCTGGCACTAACGCTCAGGAAATACTTGTTGAGAGATGAATGGATGGGTGGCCAAATGCAATAAAATGACCCACTTGTTCAAGAGAACAATCTGCTCGTGTTCTGTCTCTCACCTCTGCAATGGCTCCTTGTTTCACTCAGAGTAATGCTGAAGGCCTCACCATGGCCTACAAGGCCCTTTGCATTCTGAATTCTTCACTTTCCTGACCCCATCCTACTCTCACCTCATTAATGCAGCTCCAACCACACGGGCCTCCTTGCGGTCATTCAAACACACTAAGCAGGCTCCTACCTCAGGGCCTTTGCATGTGCTGTTCCCTCCACTTGCAGCCCTCTTGCCTCAGAAATCAAGAAACTCCTTCCCTAATCTCCTCAGGGCCCATTTCAACTGTCATCTCCTCAGAGAGGCCCTCCTTAACCTCCTCATCGAAAATAATACCTGTCACTCGCTAGCCTCAGATTCTTTCTTATTTTTCTTTGTAACTCTTTATCACCACCTGAGATCCTGTTATTTATCTATTTGTATATGTGCTTTCTGTGTTTTCCCCTGCATTATTTATGCATCTGTTGTGAGCTCCATGTGCAGACAGGGCCAGCTGTGTTCACTGCTGCATGCCCAGCACCTGGCACACATGAGTTGCTCAGAAAATGTTTAACCTTGTTTAACAAAAGAATGGAAGAAAAAAAAATGTGGACTCTGTCAAACAGTGACATCTGTGCTTTCACAGAAGAAATGATAACAAGGAACTTTAGTAAAAGAACTAAATTTACTTCAGTTTAAGGCAAATTCCACACAGAGACTGTCTCAGAGACGGGCACGGGACCAGACAGCATAGAAACACCACCATCATGCATGACAGGAAGGGAGATGCTGTCGGGCAGCAGACAGGGGGGGAGCCTGGTCTTCACCGGGCACAGGAGGTTCAGTGGGCTGCGAAGCCCCATGCAGCTGGAGGGACTGGCATGCAGGACCTGCTCCCCAGGTGGGTGAAGGCTGGGCAGCTGAGTGGGCCCAGGGTGAGATCTCCTTTCTCACCTTTCCCACAGCAGGGGCAGGGGCTCGGGCTCAGACGCCAGGGCCCAAGGCTGGAGGATGAGGGTGGACTGGGAGTGATAGGATGAAACAGGGTGACTCTAAGACCCAAGAGGGCCTGGGAGAGTGGTTGCACTGGTAAGGAGTGGGACGGGGTAAGTGGGGCACGGGATGAATGGACTCTCAGGACGTCAGAGCTGAAGGTAAATCCAGGACCATCTGGTCAACCCTCTTGCCTTTCAGGTTTGGAAACTGAGACCCAGAAGGCAGAAGGGCCTTGTCTGGGTTCCCACAGCAGGCAGGAGCTGGCGGAAGGGCTTGAGCCCAGGGGACATAGGGAGTATCTCCTGTCCCTGTGGGACAGAGGGCCAGCATGGGAGTACTGGAGCTGGGCTGCTCCTTGCCCCGGCCTCCAGGCAGGCAGCAGATGACTGGGCACTAAGGACCCTGAGCAGCTCTGGGGCAGGAGGGAATGCCTGGTACCAGGAGGCAACTGTGCAGGTTCCTGTGGGCCCATACCAGGGAGAGGCCTGGGATCTGTGTGTCTAGAACCTGCGCCACGCTGGGCTCAAGAGGCACAAAAAGGTCTTGGTGCCTGTGAAGCCTCCATTCCTAGCCTGTCGTGTGGCCTACAGTGCACCCTCACAGCCTCCCCTTCAGGGGACTGCAGGGCCCCCATTGCGTGTGAGTGTCCCTGGGTCACATGTTTGGGCATTACTGCAAACCTATCAGCCTCACAGGGTTCAGTGGAACTAGGGACAGAATAGATACCAGGGTGGGGGGCAGGGACCAGGTGTTAAAGTAGACACCAAAGGAGGAGGGGAAGGAGAAGAGGCCAAGGGGAGGGAGGCCCAGCCCAAGCTCCAGGGCCACATAAGAGATCTCCCAGGTGGGCTGAAAGGGACCCCAATCACCCTGATTATTAACACCTCCCTGGCTGGGCAAGAACCAGATGTTAGGGGAAGAAGAGGAGAGCAGAAGTCCAGAACCCCACCTCCACCACCTGGGTTTGGGCCTTAAGTGAGGCCAGGAAACTGGGGAGCAGTCTCCAGAGGCCCTGGCCCCTGCTGGCCTCCCAGGCACATGTGTTCCAAAGGCTGGGTGAGGCAGACTGCAGCAGGGCCTGGGGATCCTGCCTACCCTTCTACCAGCCTCCCCGCGCCCCAGCCGCCTGCCTGCGGAAGGCCTGGCTCAGATGTGCGTACGCAGCGGGGAGGCAGGGGGCGTGCGGGCTGGGGACTGTGGGGGCGAGTGCTCCGGGGCCGCTGGCGGGGGGTGTGGGCGGATGCCCTGCGCCTTCATGTAGGACACCAGCTGGTCAGGGATCTCAGCCAGCACATCACGGGCCAGGCGCGCCATGCTCAGCACGTGGTTGCCTGTACGGTCCACGTAGTCCCTGAAGGGCACAAACTGGCCAGCAGGGAAGGCAGGGTTAGGTGAGGTCTTCCGCTGGACCCCAGGCCTGTGAGCCCCTGCCTCGGCCACTTCCCCCAACCCCTCCCCTTCATAGCAAATTCTCTGAGGGTCATCATCGCTATTCTTTCATTCACTCAACAAATATTTACTGAGCACCTATTCTGTGCCAGGATGAACCACTTAACAAGACTCCTTAGTCTCTGAAGTCTTGGCACCCAACACAGGCACTTAGCAGATGCTCAGGATACGCTGAATGAATCCCCTGGCTTCTGGAAAATGGGTCCTCCTGGTCTCCTGCCAGCTCTCCAGCACAGCCCTCTTGTCTCTGTGGCCCTGCTTCTCCTCTTTCCTCTCTGGGACAACACCTGAAGTCAGGCCCCTCTGGCTTGCTCCCGGGGGTGTCCCCCGACCCCCTGAGTGCCTTAGGCTCACTCCTGGCTCCTGGCCTTTGCATACACAGGCCCCATCTCCCAGACCACCCTTGTTCTGTTTCTAGCCTATCTTTGGTCTCCACACTTGGTAGGATTCCTTTCCCTACCCCAATTTTTTTAAATCTAGGGGTAGGAGAATGTCAGCCTTTTATTCTAAATCTGCGGAGCCCTAGGGGCTCAGTCTTCAGGAGAGTCAGGGGGCCTGTGCTTACTGAGGTGCGTGCTGTGACTGGACTGGACAGGGACTTCCCGAGGACAGAGGCCTGTCTGTCCATTACACTTGCCATCCTACACAGAGATGTTAAGGCATTGATCCAGTTAGCCAAGCCACGCCCATTCTGCGAGAGGGCTGCAGCTGTGCTGAAGACGCCTCCCCGACCTTCACGGGGTTTGCCCTCTCCCTGGGGAGGCAGCATGGCAGAAAGCAGCAGAAGGTGCGAGTAATCAGGCGTTTGTGTTCAGCAGGAGACTATGGAGGCCTGGGGCTCAGGGAGGGCTTGGCAGAGCATTCTGACTGGGCATTATGTTAGGGGTGGGTCTCAGACATGGCAGAGAGGGGTCCAGCCCAGATACAAGTGTGACCCAAGGACTACTCCCATTCCCTTCTCTGGTGGACGGGCCACTCAGGGTTCCCAGTGCCTTCCTCCAGGTGCCCTTTCCAGAATAGCCCCCAGAAGGGCATGTGAGGGGTTTGATAGAAAGGCCCTGGCACTTTACATGGATCAGGCAAAGTCGGAGCTTCACCTGGACAATGTCCCGCTCGGCCAGCTTCCCCCGGGAGGAGATCCGCACGTCATCACCATCCAGCTCCACCATGGCTGTGTGGGGAGGAGACGTATGCAGGTGGGGGGGTTAATGGTGAGTATCTGGACCTGGCAGGACAGTGCACTTGTCCTTTATTCCCAGGCCAGTCCAGAGCAGAGACTGTCAGACCAGACCCCCACATGAGAGATGAGGAGACCGAGGCCAGGAGACAGGAGGAGCCCAAGCAGGTGAGCGTCTGACTGCTAGCTGGGTGCTCGGCTCCTCGGCCCTCCCCAGGCTTCCGAGGCTGAGGGCGGAGGGGTGACTTGCAGCCGCCACGGCCTTGGGGTGTGGGGTGGGGTGTGCACTCCTCCCTGGGCAAACAAACGTGCCCTTGCACCCCACCTGCTCACCCAGGTGCACACGCCCAGGCGTGAGCTCTCACTCAGGTGGGAAGGGGCACTCCCAAGGGCCTCAGGCCTCGGGGGAAATGCCTGGGGGGTGGGGACTCACCGTCGAACTCCGCCTGGCCGACACCAATGATGATGATGGACATGGGCAGTTTGGCAGCCTGGAGATGGCATGGGAGGTGGCAGGGTTTGGACCCAGCCGAGGGCCAGTGGAAAGAAAAGGGAGATGATGAATAGAGACACAAAGGGGTAGGTCAAAAGAAGAAAGGCAAGAGGACAGGGAACAAATGGAAAAGAGAAGGATGGGGACACAGAGAAACACAAAAAAGTGGAGGGATACAGAGCAAGGGAAACCGAGGTGGGGCACCAGAGGAAGAGGGGTCCAGAGAGAGGGAGGCAGAGGAGACAGGGTCACAGGTCTGCTTCTGCAGACACCCCCATCCCCTTTCTGCCCCTGGGCCTCCATCATGAGGGGCATGTTTGTGTAGGCCTGGAGGGAGGGCTGGCTAGGGCCAGGGCCCCTCCACCGGGAGACCCTGGCCAGTCTGGGCTGGGGTCTCAGGCAGCAGTCCGACATAGGTTCGTAAGGGAGCCCCAGGCCTCTGGAGGGAGTGAACCACCCAGTGTGACTGTGAGGTGGGCTCAGAGCTCACCCACCCCCAGGTGCTCCGAGAAGCCAGGGGTGGTCCTGAAGAGGGAGGGCAGGGGAGAAGCATGCACCAGCACTTCCCTAACAGTGGGAAGGCATGCTTCCCTCTCCCACTGCGCCAGCCCTCTGCCTCCCACCCCCACTCACGTTGACAATGGCCTCCTTGGTCTGCGCCATGTCGGAGATGACGCCGTCCGTGATGATGAGCAGCACCGAGTACTGGGAGCCGTCCTGCACCGCGGCCGCGTTCCTAGGGCGGGCGGGGGCTGAGGGCCGCTGTCCTCCGTGTTCCCCCCTCCAACAAGGACCCTTAACACTTTGGGTGGGGCCAGTTCTTTGATGGGAGGGGCATCACTTGAGAGTCGGGGCTCCCTAAAAGGTGAGTCAACAGGAAGAGACGCTCCCTCTGGCTTTCCTGAGGACAGGAGGTGTGAAGACAGACTGTGAGCTGTGGGGGTAGGGAGCCCTCTAGTGACCCCGGCACTCACCTGGCCACATGGGTGACCACCGGGGCGAAGTTGGTGGGACCATAAAGCTGCACAGTGCGCAGGCTGTGATGGTAGGCCTCCAGGATGCCATCGATGCCACAGCATGAGGGGTTCTCCTGGTTGCCATTCTGGGGGCAGAGGATGGGGAGGCTGAACCCAGAAGTGGAGGCAGAGCCAGGGTGGGGAGGCCAGCAGGCCTGGGCTCTCCTAGATTCTTCTCTGGTGGGGGGTCGGGGTCAGGGCCCACACAGAAGGGCACCACATGCTCAGGATGAGCAGGGTCCAAGCCTGCTCCTTGCCCCATTCCTTGAAACTGGTCAGAGGGGCCCGCCTGGGAGCCCCCGCCGCTTCCCTCCCAGAACCTCGAGCAAACACACCAGGGTCTGAGCAGCTCTGGATGGGCGGGTGACTGACCCATCCTCCCATGTTCTGTGCCCGGCACAGTGCCTGGCACTCCACAGGCATGTGCAGGATGTTGGTTGTGAGTGACTGAGTGTCCCCAGCTGAGGGGAGGAAGTGAGAGGAGGTGGCCTGAGGAGTTATCTGCATGGGGCTCCCATCTCAGCACCAACTCATGAGGTTCTTGGAATTACCTACAGTTGCCCATATCCAACCCACACCCCTTTATCCTAATTTCTGGTGCCTCGGCATTTCAGCCAGATCTCCACTCTACCTCCACCTGGGTTGGCAAAAGGAGGCGAGAGCCCGCTGTGGGTGGTTTCAAGAGGGGGGGGGTGAGCAAGGTGTGGAGTGGGTTTCTGGAGGCCCAGATACAAGCCCCCTACACACACACACAGCAGGGAGCCTACCGCCCACAAAGGCTCCTTCAGTCCCTAGGGAGGATGGGAGATGGCCCCCACCCCAGGCTGTCACCACAGCCCCAGCCTGGTCAGCCTTCAGCACTTCCTCCTGGGACCTCCTACCAGTGGGAACTCGTGGGACACCCTGCCATCAGGGGGCAGCTTGGCCCCAAAGCCAAGGGCAGGGAACATCTTGTCACTGTCGTAGTGCTGGATGACCTCCCCGACGGCGGTCAGCGCCAGCGCGTAGGCGTTCAGCTGGTAGGGGCTCATGTAGTGCAGGGACGTGGACTGCGAGGGGTTCCCTGTGACACAGGAAATGCAACATTTACATGTGGACACTCCAAGCCACCCTGGATGGAGAAGGGGGTGTCCAAAGGCACCCATAATTTTATTTATTCTTGACTCCTTTCTTTCTTACTGCACATTAAATCCCTTAGCAAATCCTGGTTGCTAAACCTTCAAAATATATCCAAAATCAGAATCTCACTTACCTCTCCCCCACTCCGTGGAATCAGCATCCTCCAGCTGGTAGGATTGCAGTGGCCTTCTAACTGATCCCCTGCTCCCCTCTTGTGCCTACAGCCCACGCTCAGCACACCAGCCAAGGTGAGCCTGCCAAACTCCCAGGCAGCTAGATCACACCTCTTCTCAGCTCATAAGGCTCCAACACTCTCATCTCACGCCGAATTAAACCCAAAGTCCTTCTAAGGGCTCACAGGGCCCTTCCTGACCTGGCCTCCAGGTACCTCTCTCCTCAGACCCTTCCACCCTCCCTGTCACTCACCCAGTCCCAGCCTCTCACCATTCCCACCTCAGGCCCTTGGCAGGGGCTGTTTCCTCTGCCCTTGCACACTTTTCTGCAGATGTACTCACGGCTTGCTCCCTTGCCCCTCTGGGTCTCTACTCAAGTTCACACTCTCAAGGTGGTCTTCCCTGAACCCCATTGGGAATTACAGCCACCCCCTGATGCTCCCTATCCTTTCTGGCTTGATTTTTCTCCACAGCCCTTGTCACCACTAATTTTGTCCATATTTTACTTACTTGTTTATTAATGAGAGGCAGTACGGCACAGACTGCCAGGGTACCAATCCTGTCTCTACCTTCTGCTAGCTGTGTGCCCTTGGCTAGGCTCCTTAGCCCGTCAGCCTCAGTCTCCTCATCTGTGGAGTGGGGATAATAATGACCCCCACCTCAAGGGCTTTTGTGAGGAGTAAACAGTTACAATTTCAACTCTCCTCGCTGTTACTGCTGCAGCCCCTCCTGGTCCTGACACCCTGCCTCTCTGTGCTGCTAGGGTTTACAGTCCTGTGGGGACACACCAGAGGCACACAAAGCCCAGGCACCTCTGACTGGCACAAAAATGAGCACTGAGTACCACTAATGGGGGTCCACACTCCAAGAAAGGCTGTGATGTTTCCAACAGTTTACAGTTTGGCATTGATTGCTCCTGGTGACGGTCACAGCCCAACACTGGAAGTCAGAGGAGGTGAGGAGGCTGGGGCAGCCACAGCAAGGGGGGGCTGGGCTGTAGTCTTTCCTCACTGAGGACCACCTTGACCCCAGTTCTCCCCTCCAGCCTCCAGGTTGGACTGCACAGAGGATGTGGGATTGGATCCTGTGAGAAAACACATGGGCTCCAGGGCCCTGCTGCCTCAGGGAGACTGAGTACCTCCCAGGGCAAGGCAGTGGCTCAGGATATGCAGGCCCAGAGCCCAGACGCGCTGATGACCCTGGTCCAGTCGGGGCATACCTTTGCCAGCTTGGTTATATCTTCAGGTCTCCAGGCCTGAATAATTCCTTTTTGGTGAGAATGAGGGCAGAGGATAGGAGACCTGGCTCCCAGCTGGGACCAACTACCACACCCCTGAAAAGCCCTCCCCTCTTCCCACTTCCAGCTCCCCTGCCCATCCCCCACTCACCATTGGAGGCTGTGAAATCAATGGCCACCGTGAAGTTGATCTGGGTCCTAGAAGAGGGAGAACAACAGGGGAGTCACCTGGACAGAAGAAGTTACCTGGGGAGGGTGAACCGTGCTGGACACAGAGTGAGAAACCTGGCTTCCACCCTAGCCCCCCTGCTTGCCAGGTATGTAAAGTCGCACATCTGTACCAGCTCTGGAAAACTGAGACAAGGCCAGCCACACCCTCTCCCAAAGGATTGTTGTGAACATCAAGAGTTAGGCAGTGTGAAAGCTCTGTGAAGATGATTATGTTCTGTGTGGGCACATGGTTACTACTTATTTCCTCCCCAAACCCTGCCCCTGATCCCACCTGAAGCTAGTGAGGTAGAGGTAGTGTCTCATTGTATTTCTGGTGCAGATGTGGGATTAGATTCAGAATTCAAACTTACTTGACAAATAAGAGAGACAAATAGATATCATGCATCTACTGACAGAATAACGAAAAACACTACCCATGAAGTTGTCTTGCCAAAAAATCAAACATGAATCTGACTGAGCTTCCAGAGCTATCTACCAGCCCTTTGCAGGAAATACAGGGGGCAGCAGAACATGGTAATGACACCATGGGGGATGCAGCCGGTAAATTCCAGTCTATGGGAGGTTCTGTAGGACCACTACTGAAGAGAGGCCTTGGACCAGCAGCATCATGATCACGGGGAACTTGTGAGGAGTCTCAGGCCCTCTGAAGACCTACTGAATCAGAATCACTTGATGGGCTGCAGGAATCTGTTTAGCACATCTTTCAGGTGCTGGGAGGAACCAATAGGTGAAAAGGGAATTAAGAGACAATTCAACCAATTGCAATATTTGGATCTTTCCTAGATTTCTGATTCGAACAAGCCAATTTAAAAACAATTTAAGGCAACTGGGGAAATTTGAACACAAACTAGATACTTGGTCTTACTGTTTAAATTCTATGACAGATGCCGACAGAACAAAGCTGGTAAGACATGAGCCCCTAATAAAATTTAGCCTTGCGGTTCTCACACTGCAGAATGTACAGTCACCAGGGAAGCTTGTCTAAAAAGATGCCAGGGCCCCACTCCCAGGAATGCCAATTCAGTTGGCCTGAGATGGGGCCCCATCACTCAGGGATTCTGAGGGGGTTCTGGGATCACACTTGGGGAAACTCAATTCTGGTTGAGTCTAAGGATGATGTAAGACAAGGCAGGGCTCATCTCACCTGCATTTAATAGCGATGTCCTTATCATAAACCACAGCCCTCATGCCACCTGATCACAGCTGAGCTGCTGTTCACAGAATCTTCATCACCAGGAAGGGTAAAGGACATGGTTAGCAGGAGACCCAAGTCACAATCTGCTGACCAGAGAATATCCTTCCCACACTCTTCCCCCGATCAGGTGCCTGGGGGCAGAGTATCCAATGGACTCTAAGCTCTGAGGAAGGAGCCACAAGACGGCAAGAGCATGAGTCCCTGAAGGACTATGTGGAGCATCTCCCCCAAGCCCTGCCACCCTGAATGAAAAGTAAGGCTTTATTTTTATTAAGGCTTGAGGTAGGGGGATTATTTTTTATAGTAGTTGACCTACCTTTCATCTGCTTTTTGTTGTTCTCTCTCAGTATGGAACATAAAGATTGTGTCTTTGTTGGAGAAAGGGAGACATTGGGAGGGCAAGTGCCCTACTCCCGGGGCCACCTTGGGAGGCTGGTTCTGGCCTGTGGGGCTACAACTGAGGGACACTGTCAGCCTGGCTCTCCCAATTAAAGGGTGAAGGTTGAGGCAGACTTTACTCCTTAATTAGTCTTCTCCTGCTCTGGGTTCTGAAACAACTCAGGAAAGGAAGGGACTGGAAAGCAGATACTATTGTGGGAGTTACTCCCTGCAGGCTCACCTCTCATGCCTAAAGGCAAAGCAGGGCAGAAGGCAGGCTGCTGAACAGCTAGCTCCATCTCTGAAGTGGAGGCAGAGGTGCCCCCAAACCCTTCCTCCTGGTCCAGGTGGGTTGGGGAGGGAGGCCAGCAGGAGAAGAGCCCAGGACAAATGCCTCCAACTGTGCCTGTCTGGACATGCAGGCTGGCCCTCGCTCCCTGGAGCCAGCTGTCTCACAGTGTGGAGGGGTAGGGCTGGCACCTGCATGCTAACTTGCCCAGTATCTGGAACTGCAGAAAGCTCCTTCTCTATGACACACTGCAGCGCTCAGCCCTTTAACGCATCAGTTTCCATCTGCATCACACCCTACCTGGTAGCTGTGAGGCACGCAGGGCCAGGATTACTCATTACTATGGAAGAAATGTAGCATGTGGTGCAGAAGGAACCCTGCCACTGCCTAGGCATGCAGCCTCAGGCAAGTTAAAATGGGGATCATCCTTCTCACCCTGCCCTGTGTTCTGCAAACTGGGGGCACTATGCAAATGAGAAGGCTGAATAGGATGAGGACTGTTTGAAAATTACCAGGTGCTGTGGAATGTATGGGGTGGTTGCTAAATGGGATAGAGAGCCGAGCAGTTTTGATCAGGGAAAGGAGAAAGGGCAGGGTCTGGAGTAGGCTCAGAGGAGGATAGGGAGGGCCAGGGAGGCCTCTGGGTGACTGCTCAGTGGGTACAAGGAGCTTGCAACCTTGAGACTGCAGCTTCCAGGTAGCTAGGCACAGTGTCATGGGAGAGTGTGTGTGTGGCTTCCCAGGGCCTGACTTTTCCCTCTGCCCTGGAGAACCAGGCAGCAAGTGCCCGCTTGGCTGGGATGAGACTTTGGCAGCTGCCCTGCTTGCTTCCTTCCAGATAGGTGTAGCCATTCACCTGCCTGCACCTGTGGGCTCTCGGCTACCCACACCCTGACGTGCCACCTGTTCTGGCATGGAGCTGGCTGGGCAGGACTCACCTGGGAGTCAGGCTCTCCTTCCATGAGCTGTTGACTGGAGCCTCCAGGCTTCTCTGCCTGCCTTGACCTGGATGCCAACTGGTTCTTTCTGTTCCTTAAACTCATATTTGACTACCTGCTGGCCCTGCAACCATCCCATGGCTCATCCCACAGTCCTTCCTGCCACTTACAAGTTCCTGATGACTCTCAGCAGGATAATCACTGCCCGCCAGATGAACCAGGGGTGTCAGAGCTCTGAGCAGGAAGGAACTTAGAACTCACCTAACTCCAATCTCTTTGTGAACGGAGGCGGGGGCTGATGCCAGGGAGGGATGGGGACCTGCCCAAAGTAGTCCAGCAAATACATGGCAAAGAGGGGCCTAGGCCTGGGCCTCCTGACTCCTAGTCCAGGGCTCTTTCCACCTCCCTAAGCATTTGGCTCTCCTTCTCATGGAGTCCCAACCACCTCCAGGTCTCATATCCACATGGCTGGCCCCTGTGGCTCAGGAGCACTCTCTGCAGCAGCTCGGCCTCCAGGGGTGTGCAGGACTCTGGGTGAGTTGTCTGGGCTGGACACTGGGAGTCTGCTCAGAGTGCAGGATCACAGGCTTCACCCAGGGTCTCAGAGAGGCCCACATGGGGCCAGAGCTGCTCCTGTTGATGCGTGGGGCCCCATCCCTCTCCCTGAGGTGAAAGAAACCAGGCTGCGTCTCTTCTCACCCTCCTTTTATGTAGTCGAGAAATGTGCACTCTGACTCCACAGCAAAGGAAAGCAGCGTGACCTTGAAAACAAAAGGGAGCTTGATCAGCAGGGAGCAGGGTGGGGGGGGTGGCTGACAGTTACAGAGCACTCGGCGCATGCCAGTGTTGCGTACAGTGCTCAGGGCAGCCCTAGAAAGTACGATTACACCCCCATTTTATAGCCAAGGAAACTGAGGCCCAAAGGAAACTGAGGCCCAATGGGCCCCAGGACAATGCCAGGATGTGCCCAGGGAGATGGGAACCCAGGTCTGTGAATCCAGAGCCCACTCTTTTGACCTTGATGCCAAACTGCATCCTGGAGAGCCTTGTTTCTTTCTCTGGAGTGCAGGGTCTCAAGTCAAGGGCAAGAGCTTCCCCTAAGGAAGTCCCGGTGTAGTGTGGAGACTGAGGGGTCCTTCTGACACAGGCCTGACAACCTGTCACGCTTCATGTCCTACCAACTAGTGATCCGGAGAGGTGCCCCTCTGGTCTGTGTCTATCTTAAATCTTACTTGTTCTACCTACCCCACCCCTCTGGCATCTCTCAATCTCTACCCTCTCACCCAAGCTCCCCCATAAGCAGCCGGTTCTTTCTACAGAGGTAACTGACACCTGGGTCCCTCTTCTGGGCAAAGGCCTCTTGTCCTGTGCCTCCTCCTGGAAGTTTGGCCAAGACGGGCAGCTGCCTGGCAGCGCATACTGATGATGATGGAGGTTTGTGGAGACAAGTGAAGGCCTCGCAGCTAAAAAAGGATGGCAAGATTGGGGCAGGTGACCTTTTATGTGTCAGAAAGCTCTGGTCTAGGACTTGGGGAGGCCCTACTGGGGCAGATTCAGCCATCTTACCACTCACTGGGAGGTCCAGGTAGGGCCTCTGACACAGCTGATGGGCCAGCAGCCTGAATACCAGGTCTCTGAGCACTGAGCTAGGCCTTGAAGACCCCACCCACTGTGGTGATGGCGTTAAGCTCCTAGATGGACAAAGTCTCCTTTCACTAGGATTGGACTATAGCAGTAGCCTCTACCCTGACTGCTCATTAGGCTCCCTGGGGAGCGTTTAAAACACCCTGCAGCATGGACCCCAAAACCAATTTCATCAGAGTTGTCTGGGGTAAGGCCCTGGCCCCTAACCTTTGTAAATCTCCTCACCTGAATCTAACCTGCAGCCAGGGTTAAGCCTCCAATGAGGCCCTACCTTGCCTGATCATATGGAGTCACCCAGGGACGTGCTCTTCAAAGTGTGACCCTGGACCAGCAGCACCAGCTGTACCTCCATGCTGGTTACAAATGCACAAATGCAGATTTGGGGCATTCTGACAAAAATCACTGGAAGAAACTGCACTTAGTATTTAAGGCATAAGAAGCACTAAACACAGATTCCTGAGTACAAGCCTGGGCCTCCTAAAATAGGGACCCCAGGGAGCTGGCCCGGGGATCTGTAATTTAATAAGCATTCTGAACAGTGAGTTGTTTTATATGGTAAGGATTGGGAAATGCTGGGGCAAAAAAAGTCAGGATACCTGGGCCTAGGCCTGCTCTGTCCCTAACTCACTGTGTGACCTGACATAATAACACCCCATTCTGGGCCTTAGTTATACTTTTTTTTTTTTTAGCTGTACATCCAAGTTTGCTCAGTCAGAGAAGGTGCTACTTCCCCTCAGGGCATTTGGAAACAAGTGGGAGAGTCTTGGTGGGGGTCTCAGAATGACGGGGCTCTACTGGTAGCTCTGGGCTGTGGCCAGAGATGCTAAGCACCCCATAGTGCATGGGGAAGTCCCAGGAGACAGAGTGATCTTGCCCAAGATGCATCCACATTGAGCAACACTGCAGCTCTGGACAAAATATCACTCCAAGCCTGTCTGCAAAACCATCAGGGAAGTGGTGGTCAGCCCCCTGTGAGTGAGCAGCATACTGTGCAGTTTATAGACCTGCATCTTCCTGCATCTCCCACGTGTCTGCCATAACCACCTTGTGTAGTAAGCAGGGAATGGATGATTTATTAGCCCCATTTTACAGAAGGAGAACCCCAGAGCTCCCTGACTATGACCTCTTCTGGGTCCGGAGCTGCAGACTGCCTGATTCAAATGACTGGCTGCATTAGCTGATGAGGCAATGAACTTCTACAGTGGAAAGAGACATGAAGGGTATGAACTTGGGTATGGGTGCACTGCAAAGACGTTGGCTTATTCTCTTGCACTTTGGGGTCCACCTCAGGGCCTTTGCACATGCTGATCCCTATAGCTAGTATTCTCTTTCCTTACACCGTCAGTACTTGCTCCCTTACCTTCTTTAAATCTCTGCTCAAATGTTACTTCACAGAGAAGCGTCCTCAACTACTTTATGTAAAATGGTAGTTTTGTCCCTGGAGTTCTCTATCTCTTTGTCTTATTATACTTTTTCCACAGCACTCATAACCACCTGGCATGCACAGGTACATGTGTGTTCATTTATTTGTTTTCTGTCCCCCCCACTAGAATATAAGCACCAGGAAGGCAGAGATTTGGGCCTGTCTTGTTCCCAGCTGCATCCTTCATGCCTAGAACAGCATCTGGCACATGGTAGGACCCAGAAATATTTGTTGAATAGAAGCATGAATGTCCTGAAGATCAGCCCCCAGTAGCCACTGAGCCTGATCCAGGATGGTTGCAGTTAAGCAGGAGCGGTGTCTGCAGTAGCTGCCAGCTCTAAATTTAACTGCAGAGCTGATGCTGTCTCCACCACTTTCCAGCTTTGTGATCTTGGTTGAGTCACTTCCCTGCCTGCAGCTTTGGTTTCTTCTTTTAGGACAAAGGGATAATAATCTCCACCTCTTAAGGAAACAACCTGTGAAAAGCCCCTAAATGGGGAATTTCCCAGAGTAAGGGCCTAATAAATGCTACTCTATTTTCCTCTTCCTTTCTGCAGGAAGTCCCTGGGGGAGTTTCTCCTGGGATTTCTCATTATGTATCACAGAGCCTGCGGCATCATGTACCTCAAATAATCCCAGGGCTGTTGCTCCATTGGCCCCACCCTCCCCACCCCCAACTCCCCAGGTCTGGTTCCCACACTGCAGGAGCAGCGCTAACAGACATGCAGGACTCCTAACACCAGACCTAGCTTGGGGCTCAGAATATCTACACCTAGCTGTGGAGAGGAGATGGTTACTCACTGTGCCAGAATTCACGTACTTCTTTTTCTTCATTTTCTTTTTTGGGTTTACCACCTGCAGGAAAAACCAGTTGCCAGGTAAGAAAGTGCTTTTCCAAACAGGGCCGGGCCTCCTAGGGCTTCCACCGACCCCTGGCTGGGGCCACAGCCCCAAGTCAGCAGAGCCTAGGGTGTGAAAAATTGGGAGGAGGGAGCAGGGTTCAGGGAGGATGTGAAAGACTGGCTTTAGATTTACGCAACTGAGCTCCCCATTAGACCCAGTGTCCCACGACCCAACACACCAGGAATAATATTTATTTAACCTTCTTTCCCACTGCTCCCCTAAACACACCTTCTACCCTGTGCTGTCAAAGAAACCTGATGTTGCAAAGAGGCCCTGTGCGTGCCTGCTCCTGTGCATTGGCTCAGGCAGTTCCCCTCACCCAAAATAACCTCCCACCTCCCTGCGCCAGTTCCAAACTTCCCTGTTCCCCCTTCAAGACCCAGCCCTGGGGCTGCCTCCCAACCACACCAGCACACGCAGTCAGGACCTCCTGACCTGGTCCTCGTGTGTACTTTACTGCCAAACCAGGCCTGTCATGTAACAGGTCTAAACACACTCACTGGTGGGCTAACTCAGTGACCTCAACTGGGGACGATGTTTGTGTCCCAGGAGGCAGTTGACAACATCTGGAGACATGGGTAGAGGCCAGGGATGCTGCTAAAACACGTAGGACAGTCCCTCATCACAAGGAATCACCCAGGCCCCAATGCCAGCAGTGCCAGAGCTGAGTGAGAGTCCTGGGCGGAGTGTGGGAGACCACGCTGCCCTGTGAGCCTTCCCTCGGCGCCTTCATTTTACCTGCACTGAGGCTCCCATCTCTGTTTTTTCACATGGGAAGCCTAGACTCCGCCTTTCTCTAATCTCCCACCAAACAAGGCAAGGCGATTTCATGCCAGTGAGCCAAATGTAGGGTTCTGGGGAACTCATTTCCCCTCTTCCTCACCTCCCATTCTTCCCGCAGGGGCAGCCAGCTGCACTTTTAGCAAAGGTCTATTCTGTCTGAATGAGTATTGATGTCCACTTCAGAGACACCAAGCGATTTGCCTTAGGTCACACAGCTGGCCTAGGTAGTGACAGAATTAGAAACCTGGTTCCTACCCTCAGGCCGGTGCTGCACACATGGGTGCCACCTGGATAACAAATACAAACACATTCCTTCACAAGTATGTATGCGGTGGGGGGGGCGGAGGAACCATTTCCTCTCCCTCCAGAATCTTCACTCCAGTTGGAGAAAGAAGATATGCCCGTGGGCGAGAGGTGACAAGTGCCACCAGCAAAGGGAGTCAGAAATGTGAGGAGTTACAGGAAGGAAGGATGGCTCCAGGTGGAAGCATCAGGGCAGGCTCCCCAGAGCAGGCAGTACTGAAGGCAGAGGTTGAGGTACAGGAAGGATTTGGATATAGAGAGATGGAGGGCGGACATCCTAGTCAGGAGAGACGTGGGGAAGTGGGACACAGCACTGGAGTCCAGTTTGACTGCAGAACCACAGAGTGGAAGAGTAAATTGGGCTGGCTGAAAGAGAGCCTGGAATGCTAAGTGGAACGTCTGAACATCACTCAGCAGCCAGCATGGCCTCTAAGCTGGTAGGGGCCAAGATCACAGCAGGTTCTAGGATACTGGGATCTGGTGGAAGTGAGTATGAGGGGAGAAGGAGCGCCATCTGGGAGATGTCTGCCTGGTTCTGCCCTCTAATAGCTGTGTGACTGTAGGCAAGTTACTTAACCTCCCTGTGCCTTGGTTTCCTCATCTGTGAAATGGGAATAAAAAGTACCTGCCACATAGAAAGGAATGGGGATTAAATGGGACAGTACACGTACTGCTGAGGACAGGGTCAGAAAGGTAGTGAGTACTGTGTGAGTATTAGCTGCTGTGATTTTTTTCATCACTACTACCACCACCACTGTCCAGCTGAGAAGTAATGAGGGCCTGGGGGTACTGGAACAGGTGCTGAGCTATGGCAAAACAGCAATGTCCAGAGGCGCCCACAGGCCCTGGGCCCTGGGCATGGCTGTGAGGGTAGAGGAAAGGGAGGAGTCAGGGGTGACCAAGCAGACACAGAAGGAAGGACGACTCAGAGTGCAGGCACACATGGAGAGTTCAGGTGGGAGGGTTGGCAGGCTGTGCAGGTAAAATCGAAAGCCTGGGAAGGGAAGCCCAGAACAACTTCACAGCCTCCACAGACACGAAGGTCACCCTGATCACATGGTGCCCACAGACACCTCTGTGGACAAACGGTTCACTAGGCAAGGTGCTGAGATGAGAGCAGTCGCAGCTCTGTACTGCGCCGTGCCTCGGTGCCCCATCTCCCGGGAGGGCATAGAGCTTTTAGAACTGAGTGTATCTCAAACTTTTACTCCAAATAGGCCCCCCAGCTGAGAAGAATAAACACAGACTCCTGGGGGTCTGGGCATCTCCCAAAGACCTGGACACAAGCACAGTTCTTTGAAGTCTTCTGTGTTACCTTTAAACTAGCCTGTATTCTAAATTTCCACTCTCTAATTATAACTGTTTTAAATAAAAGTGTTTTGTCTTCAGATCTTCATGTGAAGTGGCCACTACAGAAGCACCCTGTTTACGCTGAGGTTTTGTGCACTCACCCCCACTGACAAGCCTCTCCAGCCCTGCAGGACTGCACCCCAAACTTCCATGTGGAGACTGGTGCCCTCTAGAGGGTAGACCAGTAACCTCCCAATTCCCAGGCTGGAGTTCTCAATCTCTCATGACCCCCAGGGCAGGGCTGGGGTCTGCCTTCCGGTGTAAGGGGGGCACTGATGGCTCCTAGTGGCCAGGAGCTGTGCTGGCTCTGGGGATACAAAAGTGAGACACCACCCCAACCCTTGAGAACCTCATGATCTTTGAGGGTGTAGGAGATCGCAGGTCACTGGGATGTGGTACCTATGTGAAGGAGCTTGGGCTTTACCCTGCAGATAAAGGGCCCTGTAGGCTCTCAGCTAAGGTGGGAATGTCTTTCTGAATCTCCTCCCCACTCCCCTGTGCAAACCAGACTGAGAGAGTAGATGAGGTGCACAGCCGGGTTTGAAGCAGGGCAGCAAATGTGGTCAGATTGCCATTTTGAAGGAGCAATCAGGCTACGAGTGGAAGAGAGGGGAGGTGGGAAGACCATTAGGGGGCTGCTGCAAAGCTCCACACAGGGGAGATGATGTCTTGGGGTGGATGGGCGTGAAGGGAATAAATGGCAGAATATTTAGGCGGTAGAATGACTAGGGTTCAGTGACAGACTTGATGTGGGGTGAGAGGCAGGAGGTGTCAAGGATGAGTGCCCAGGTGCCGTGACCCCAAGATGACAGCACAGGGGACAGGGCTGGCTGGCCAGGGGCAAGAGGGATGGAGAGGCTGAAGCCAAAGCATTTGGTTCGGGAAGGCCAAATCTGAGGGGTGGCCGGCAGACAGCTGGACATGAGTCCAATACCCAGAGTGATGCCAGGGCCTGGGATGAGGGTCTTTCCTAGCAGAAGCCTGTCTTCTCTTTAGGTAGTTCTGACTCTAGAAAGACCTCCCAGACACCCCACGGTGTAAAGGCTACCAGAGTTTAATTTCCTTTCTACCTGATGGTGTTTCAGGTAGAAAAGAAGCCAGTACTTCTGCTTCCTGTCGCTGCAGGATCTCTCGTTGATTGCAAAGAAGTAGGGATCAACGACCAAGAAAACAAATCAATCTAACCTTTTCTGCTTTTAGCCCGAGTGACCAGGACCTCTTCTGTGCCCGTCAAATGCCCTCAGAAGCCAAACTGAGATCTGACCCCTTCCCTTCACTTCCCTAAAACTCTCCTTCACAGAGGCCAGGGAAAGATGGAGCCTGCTTCTCTCTGCCTGGTTGTGGGGCAAAGACAGCCCATCTCTTTGTCCATGCAGAAAACAAGCAAGTAACTAAGGATCAGAACCTTTTCAAAGAAATTCATCCACGCTCCATCTTCATGAAGGCTTGCTCAACTGAATTCAGGGTGTGGATGTATAACAGGCACCTCCTGCGTGCCCAGCAATGCTGGGGCCAACGTGAAGGGAGGCAGCAGGAAGGGCTGTCACCTCACCTGCACTTGGGAGCTTCAGCCTAGCTGGAACACAAGACCTGCCCACTAAGATCAGAGATGCAGGGGGAGGGAGTGGAAGTATGAAGGAATTTAGATCCAGCTCCTCCACTTCACGAGCTGAGTGGCTGCTAATATAAGGATAGAGCCGGTTGGTAAGGTGGTTGTGAAATGTAAATCTCCTGGCACACAGGCGCTCAGCAGATGACACTAGGAGACAGCACTGACATCATGCTCACTAGGAGCCAGGGGTTGCTCTAGTAACTTATTTAATGCTTGGTGTGCATAGCACAGAGTAGTTGAGGAACTTAGCCAAGTCACATGGCTAGTAGTGGTAGAGTCAGGACATGAACTCAAGAAGTTTCTAGGGTTATTAGTATCTATAGTTAAGCAGGGCTGGCATGAACTGTGAGGACCATGAAGTTCAAAAGAGGAAGCACAGGGGGCTGGTGTGGCTGGAAGGCCACCAGGGATAGGACCAGAGGTAGATTTGGAAGGTAGGAGAGCATCCCACGAGAGAGAGCGCACACAGCAAATGATCAGCAGCAGCAACTGTCTTTCGAGGACAAACACTATTATCTCCAGAGAGACTAGATACCTTGTCCAAAGCTTCCAGATCTAGATCGAGGTATCCTGACTCCTGTTCCTCTATCTCTTTCCTTCCAGAAAAGGAAAATATTCAACAGGCCCTGAAACCATCTGGTTGAAGGCAGAGGGACACCTTGAACTCAGGACCTCAGGTCTCCAGATTGCAACTTTCTGATACTGTCCACCACCTTCTGCCCCACCCACAGTTCTATACCCATCTTGTTGGGAGTGCTCTTTGGGGAGAAGCATAACTCAGTGACTTGTAGTCAGATAACCCTAGGTTGTTGGCCTCTTGATTCTGGCACTTACTAAACCACGCGTCTTTGGGCAAGTCTCCTAACTTCTCCAAGATCTGTCTTCTTAACTGTAGAGTGGAACAATAAGCCCACCTCGCAGGAGAACATACAAAAACCCCAGCCCAACCCACTGCAATCTTCAGTGATGGGGCGATATGTAGCGTCAGAGCAAACCCCGGACATGCGGTGTCCGCCTCACCTCATAGATGTTGAACTGGCTCTGCCCGCGGGCCAGCTCCCGGTAGCTGGTGGTGAACTCCCCAATGAAGTCGTGGCTGCAAGGGAAGGTGGCAGCTGAGACCATGAGGCCCTGGCTGCACTCCGCCTCTGCCCGTCCGCCACCACTCATACCCGCCCCCTCCAGCTCCCAATTCCGCCCAGGCCTCTGCTCCAGGGTTACACACCAGAGGGGCTGCATGCATCCCTGCAAAGAGTCCAGGGTCACCCAAGAAGCGAGAAACTCAGTGGTCACCTAGCAAACAGCAGGGTCTTAGGGAATGGGACCCATATCTGTTTGGATTCTTTTTTGAACAACCAGCAATAAAAGGTATTTTGGGGACAACTGGGAAAATCTGAATATGTAATGAATATTAGATGGCATTCAAGAATTATTGTTCAGTGTGTAGGGTGTGACCTTGGCATTTATAGTTACATAGAAAAATACCCTTATTATTTAGACCTTCCCAATGAGATATTTAGAAGTGAAAATGCCATGATGTCTGTATTTGAAATTACATCCACAAAACACCGACGAAGCAGATACAGCAACATGCCACACTTGTTAAATCCGGGTGACAAGCTGAAAAGAGTTCACTAAACTTTTCTCTCTACTTCTTCGTGTATTTGACATTTTTTCAGTAACATTTCTTAGAAAGACCATTAGCACTATGTCTGTCTAGGCAGCTCGAGGTGTTTTCTTGGTGTCCACACCTTCTGGGGCTCTGCTCGCACAAGAGGGAGTCTACGTCAAGTGCAGCAAACCCTGTCCAAAACAGAGCTGCCATCTCCCCGGGCTTGGCTGCCCCTGGCAGAGGGCAGTGCTTAACACGCCACCCTGGGTGCCTACTGGAGAGTGACAGTGTCCCTGGGGCCTGGCCCCACCTCCAGCCTGTGATATATTTTGACTACATGTTCACAGCTCTCGGCATTTAGCCTCCGAGCTCCAGGGCATCTGGTGACTGCCCCCGGCTGCCTCTGGTAAAGAAGTATGGGTGGAAACACGAAGCTGTGATGTGGTTAAAGGGTCGAGAAGAGAGGGACAGGTTAAAGGGCTGAGTCCAGAGGGAGGACCGGCATTGGACTTTCCCTACAGGAGGGTCTCAGTGGGACGCAAGCTCCTTGGAAGGGGCTAGGGCCTAATTGAGCTGTGTTTGCACAGCCTTTATTTAGTCTCCTGACCACACCGCAGGCTTGAGAAGGTCCGGTGAAGATTATGGGTTCAAATCCCCTCTGCAACACTCCCTACAGTGCCACAGAACGGAGGGGTCACAAGAGCCAGGATGACATATTCGGATTTCGTCCAACAGACAAGCAGGAGCCAGTGAGGCTTCCGGACTAAAGCTGCAAGAGGCCCGTTCTTCCTCATCTATGAATTCGCAGTGACACTGGCTCCTTGCGGGCACTTAGGCCACAGAAGGGGAAGCCCTGGCCTCCCAAAGACCCCGAATGCGAAGCACCCTCCTGCTGGCCAGGCTCAGCCCTACTTGGGCACTGCCTTGTGGCTCCTGAGTCCATCTGTTGCAGCAAAGCTGGCCCTCCCATAGCCCACCCCCTCAGGCCCTGCTCCCTGCACACTGCTCCTCTGAAGAGCCGAGGGCCTCCCTGCTAGATCCGGGGGAGTCTCTGAGGACCGAGCCCATCTTCTGTACCTCAGTCACCCCACAACACCTACACAGAGAACATGTCCATGAATGCTCAGGAGTTAACTAGTATCTGTGCCTTAGAACATGCACATTTCAGAAAATCCTAAATTCTCCCCAAAGTGGGGAGATTTTAGGCACTTGGTGGCTGCTAGGCAGCAATTTGAGGAAAAGAGGTCTCTCATGTTTCTCACATCAAATCCTATAGGACAGAAGCCATCGGGAGCCTCAGTGGAGCTTGGCAGGGACAAGCCACTAGGGCAGTGGACCTCCTGAGGAACACCCCAGCCCCCTCGCTCCCAGAGCTGCCATGGGCCCATGCGAGGGCAGGCCCAACCTCCCCCCAGGGGCTGCCTTTCTGTCTGCTTACCTGCCATCCCGATCCCAGTCGTACACTTCCACCTTGATGGTCCTGCAAGGCAAAGACCCATGGTGGGATGGTGTTGACCCAGCCCTGCACAGCCTGAGGAAAGGGCCCTTTTCATGTTCCTGGGCCAGAAGGGGATGCAGGGATGCCCACCAGGATCCAAGAGCCCTCCACGGAGAGGTAGCAACCCCAGAGACAAAGGAACAATCTTTGGGCCTCTTAGCAAAGGTCTTAAACTGTGTAGGGACTTCCCTGAATTTCAGGGAGGATACAGGAAAACAGCCTCAGACTTCAGTTCACCCCACCTTCTCCTGGGCCACCCCAGATGGGGCACATGTTCCAGCATGCAGCCAGACTGTCAGTTCATCGGGGTGGGGCCATCATACTGGGACTGTGAATTTCAGGCCTAAGCAAGACTGGCTTTCCTGGGGAGGGGTAACAAGGCTGTGTGGTAAGACCCCCAGATAGGGGTTTCAGTAGTGGGGAGCCAGCCCTGCCTGTCAAGGATGGACCCAGGGGCCACGACTCAGGGAAGGCTTGCTGGGCTTTCCCATGCCACAACTGGCTCCTGAGTGAGGGTGTAATTATCATCACATTTTAGCCTGTCTGCTTTAATTAGTTTGTTTTGACTCCTGTGCATGGGGCTGGGCTTTGGGAACCCATTTTATTTTTAGCCTGTTTCCATGGCAACAGGCTAGCAGACCAGAAGCAGGAGGAGGGAGGTGGAGGTTTTCAGGTTAACCCTTGGTGCCAGTGGTCCTCCAGGGGTACCCGAGGATGGGGGAGCTGCCAGGATCCCACTTGCAGGGTTTGGGGAGGCGGGAGAGGCGTTGGGAACTGGGGGTCTCCAGCCTTCAGTTCTAAATGGGGCATGCGGAGGCGGCTGCCTGGGCCTGTCTTCTATTAACAGCTCTTTGGGTCACCCCTGGCCCGGGTCCATCTCCTGCATCGGTGAGGAGTAAACCTTGGGGTTCTAGAGCGCCCAGAAGGAGGCGCTGACTCCCTTCAGATGAGCCTCCTCAGGACCTGAGGGTGGGGGTACCATTCTGCCTGCGTCAGGGCAGAACTGTTCTGAAATGCAAGAGTGCCCAGTAGGTCATGCATCAGCTGGATTTTTATTATCAAAATGTAAAATGGGATGGGCACAGAAGCCCACCATGTAAAGGAGTCCTCTAAATGCCTGTGGAAAATAAAAAACTATGTCCCTTTGAGGCGAATTATTGTAGAAAGGAAAAAAAGTCTACGCTCTGAAAGTGAGCTGGTGAGCTGGAAAGGGTGAAAAAGGGCTGGGGTAGAGACTTGGATGCTGTGTCCCCAGCTGAGGGACTTGGAGAGGTCACTTAACCTCTCTGAGCCACAAACCCATTTTAAAGTGGAGATAATAACAGCCTTGCAGAACAGCTGCAAAGATAAGTCAAGGAAACCCACCTGGCATGCAGGTGGGTCTCTCTATAAATGCCTTCTTCTCTCCACTTCAGCATTTGGCCACCTTCAAATAGTTGTTCATGTGAAATTTACTTAAATTAGGGACACCTGAGTCTGAGTACGTGGACTTGGCAGCTTCCAGTTCCTGGAGTGACAAGCTGGAAGCGACCTTATGGCATCCAAGTCTGGTGCCTGGCAGATCACCAGGGAGCCTTCCAGACACACAGACCCCTAGGCCCAGTTCTTGGTGGCTCTGGACAGGGACCATCCAGTTTAAAGGCTTCCCGAGTGACTCCGCTGTGTATGTTCTGGAGTGATGACCTCCAGCCCCCTCATTTTCAGATAGGGAAACTGAGCCCTAAGGGTACCCAGTGACTTGTCCAGGGTCACACAGCTGGTCAGAGTCAGTGCCAGCCACAAGCTCAGAGGCTGTAAGAGAACCCCAGTCATAGCCTTGGATACCCAAAAATCACTGGGAAGATTTTTTTCTAATGCCATAGCCAGAGGACCTGCTTTAATTGGTCTGGACAGGCCTTGGGCATGACGTGGGTAGCTCTGGAAAGCCCCCTGGCTGATTCTAATGTGCAGCCAGAGCCACTGACCCCTCGAGAGGAGAGCACTAGTTTTCAAACTTGGTTGCACACTGGATCCCCTGGGGACCTTCAGCAATCCTGATGCTGATGCCTCACCCCAGAGATTCAGAATCAGTTGGTCTAGGGTGTAGCCTGGGTAGGGGGGTTGCTGAAAGCTCCTCAGGGGGTTTGAACTTGCAGCTGAGGTTGAGACCACTGAGCGTGAGAGTCCTGGGCGGTCTCAGCCCAGCCCCACTTGAGGGTCCAGAGATGGCTGTGGCTGCACCTCCAGCTGTGGGGGAAAAGGAGGCGAGAGAACCCGCGCCAAGACAGAGGAAGCAGTGGCAGAACCAGACAGCGTCGACTACTCTACTGGCAGTTCCGCCACTGTGCAGCCCTGGCTGGGCTGCACCTGGTCATCTCATGTGCCACGCGTGGGCTGCAGGCCTTGGTTCCCAGCCCCTTAGCACAGGCCCCACAAAGGCTCATGACAGACCAGCAGTGACTCCTAGGGACAACACCCAAGACAAGGGGCTACTGGGTGTGGGACAATGATATGAGCCTCTGCTGCCCACAAAATGAGCATCTTATTTGGTATAAAGAGGCTCAGAACAAGAGCCCCTAACCGGGGAGGCAGACAACAAAGGCTGCAGGCTCAGGGGCCAGCAGCTGTGAGTGGCAATCCCAGCTCTTCCAGGTACCAGCCTTGTGGCCCTGTGCAACTAGCTTCACCCTTGGGGACTTTGTTTACCCCTCTGTAAAATGGGATGACCACGCCCACTTTGGAGCTGCTGTGAGAAGTCAACCACATCATTCACACTGTCGGTATTGGATACATGTTATTCTGTTCTCTCTAAAACACTCAAGCCTTTCTCCCAAGCTCCCATCTCCCAGACTATTCCCATTTACCATGAAAATATCAGTTTCATGAGGCCAGGGATTTTTGTTTGTTTTGCTTGCTGCTGTATCTTCAGCTTCTAGAACACTGCCCGGTATACATTAGGTAATATGCTATTATGAAGTATCTGTTGGCTGACTTAGATCTCCTAACAACTTCGTGAAGTGGGCCATATGCCCTCCTTCCCAAAAACTCCCAAAGGGGAGCCCAGATTGTGTGGCTTTCCTCGAATCACACAGCTGGTCAGCGATTCGAGGCCTCAGGGCCAGGAGCCAATATCCTGTGGGTCTCTGGAGGCCTGGGACCAGAGTGACAGGGTCAGGTGTGTGTGAGCTTCAGCAGGCCAGCAGGGGTGAGGGACACTGGCAAAGACACCAGGCTTTCCTCCCAGGGCACCAAGCAGCTCTATCTGTCGTCTCCTCCAGGCCAAGCTGCTGGTCTGCCTCCTAAAGAGCCTCTCCTGGGCAGGTGAAGGTACATATCCCTGTTGCTTACAAATCCCAAGGGCTGACAGGCCCTGAGGGTTTGGCCCTAAACTGACTGAGAAGCTTCAGGGAGGAAGCGGAGTGTGAGGCCCCCGGGTGTGGACAGCGAGACTGGACAGTGGGGAGCTCTGTGCAGCCCTGGCTGGCCCGCAGTGGCTTTCCCTCCTCTGTCTGGTGTGTGAGCTGGGGATGATAAGCCACTCCTAACGGAGTTGACACATGCTCACCTGGCCCCTGCTGGTGCTCAGCATAGGAGGTGGAGTTCACAGGAGAAGCAACTGGTTCATCCCAGGGGGTGACAGAAATGTGAGGTTTTGGAGATGTGAGTTGATTCCAATTCCTGGGAATCCTCTCTCCTGGGCAGGTGAGCACCCACTGCCCTAACGCCTTCTTCAGAGCCACTCACTCAACATTGAGGTGTGGGTGACTGACAGCAGCCCAACCCAGGGGAATCTGGCTTAATAGGGAACAAATCCTCAAACCACAGAATGTTGGAGGAGAGCTGGGGGACTTCAGGGAAGGCAGGGGAAGTGGGTCTTGCCACACCCCACTTCAACCCACTGGAAGGCTGGGCTCCAGTTCTGCTCAGGTGGGTCACTTGAGTATGGACTAGAGACACAGAAAAGGCAGGGGGTCCCCAGACCAAAGGTTCAGCCCAGAGGCAACTTCTGGAAAAGGGAAAGTACCTCCTCCTTGCCCAGGCAAGTCACATAATCTCTACTCCACCATTTTCCCATCTGAGAAATGGACATGTCATTAATACTACCTTCTGGGGTGACTGTGGAATTTAAATTCACAAAATAACACAATGTATTTAAAGCAGTTAGGACAATTTGGCCCATGTACTAAAGACTCAAATAATCTTAACTGGTTCCATGCCGGTCACTTCCAGAACACTGCCCTTTCTCAGCAGATCCCTGATTCTCAGCCTCCTGGCCTGCTTCTTCACAATAGTAATCAGTACTTTGAATTCTCCTCTCAGCTCCCTGACACGGCTGCCCTCCTCTTGGTTCCCCCCATCTCTATGACCATCTCCTCTTCTTTCTCCTGCTCCTGACCTATAGCCTCCCCACAGGGCTTTGGGCGCTTGACCTCTGCCAGACCCCATCCTATGGATTCAGACCTCTGCCCTCCTCTCCCCTCCACTGAGCACCACTGTGCCTGCCCCACAGCTGCTACTCCGGCTCCCTGTTACACTTCCCATTTCTGTAGGAAGACCGTCTTCTCTTGGCCCCCAGCTCTGTACCCCAAGATCTCCTCATCTCTTTTACCCCCATATCCAGGCAGGTGTCAAGGCCTTTTGAGGCCTCCTTCCACCTCCAATCCCAAAGCTGACCTGCCCTGAGCCCCTGGGCAATGTTCTGAGAGGCCTCCTCCAAGCACACCCCACTTCCACCACGTCTTGGCCATTTGGCAGCAGAGTACTGGGGTTAAGAGCACAGATTCTAGAGCCAGCCTGCCTGGGTCCAGATCCTGGTTCTACCATTGACTGGCAGTTAAATACTGAGGAAGTTACTTCACTTCTTTGGGCCTCAGTGTCCTTACCTGTAAAATGTAGATAGCAGTAGTACCTTTTCCAGAGCTGGTACTAATTGTTCGGAGTATTAAATTAGTTCATATCCATAAATTACTCCAAAAGTGCTTACAGGAGCCTTAGCTATATTATTATTCCTATTGTTATTATTATTATTGCCTGTCTGTGTCCCACCCTGGCCTGGGAGTAACCTAAGAGGGAGGCTTGGGTCTGATAGCTCAGTATGCCCACAGCACCCAGCAGGGTGCCTCGTGCCTGGCTGGCTTGGAAGACATGACTGCTGGATTAAACAGAATGTGCCCTGGGAGGCTTCAAGAGGTGCCTTGGAAGGAGAGAGGAAGTGCTGTATTTTCCTGAACAAGGCCTCCTCTCCTGCCCTGAGAGGGCCTCCCAGACACTTGCACCTCCTGAGTGGTTATCGGGTACATAGGTTACCCTGGGGCTCGGCAGGAGACAGGCCTGCTGGCTCATCAGGCAGCGTGATATGCCTGGTGCATTAACACCACTGTCACTCACGTCACAGTCAATCTGTTTCTGGCTATGGAGAAGGGGCCTGAGCTGCCCAATCATCTTGGAGGGAAACCAGTCTGGGGCTCAGCCTGGGGGAGGGGGAGATGGGAGCCTGCCCAGGCTCTCCCCACAACCTGCCCCCTCCTGCCCCTTCCCACCACAACCTCACCTCGTCCAGGGGCTGAACAGTGAGCCAGGCCACGGAGCAGCTGCTCTCCTCACCATCCCCGACAAGGCTGAGTTGAGGCTCCCCTCCCTAGGGATGCAGGGCTGTAGGGGGCAGCTGGGACACCAACAACCTCTGGGCAGTGGGGCCAGAGGCCCGGTTCCTCCCACCCAGTGAGCCTCGGACTGCCACGCTCTCCCATCCTTGCGTTTCCCCTCCCTCCCTCTCCAGCTCTCTCCAGCCCAGCCATTCCTCCCTCACCCCTGTTCCTAGGAACCCACTCTGCTCACCAGCCTTCTCTGAGCCTCCTTTAGACCCTACTGCTCCAGCTAGCCTGTCCTCCCATTCCTCACCCTTCCAGAAGCCCCAGGACCTGGCCAGACGTGTAAGGGGGATTTGTTTGGCTGGAATGCCTATTTCTGTCTCCAGTCTCACTTTGCAGTTATTGTGCTATCCAAAATACATGTGGGCATATCTGAGCTGTGGTCAGACTAAAAGTCCCCTGGAGATGGAAATGCAGCTATATTTCCTTGAATGCTGCACAGCTGGAGGCACAGTGCTGAGCACAGAGTAGGTGCTCAATGACCACCTCTGGAACAGATGGTGGCTTTTCCACAAAAGGCAGGAAAAGGAGCCACCTCATCTCTCCAGGATCAGCAACCTAATAGGGCAGCCTGAGGGTTTCCTGGAGGGAGACAGGAGTGCCCATAGCCATCCATCACTCCCTGCCCCCACCACACAAACCCTGTCAGTAGCCACTGTGAGCCGGGTTCCAGGGAACCCATGCCAAGCAGCCAGCCAGGGTGACCCAAGGTGTCTGTCCTGATAACCCAGTATTCTTATCTGAGTAGCCAGCAGGGGCCCAGCTTCCTCGTCTGCCTAGGCAGCCCTGCTGTGAACCCCCTGCCAGCTCACCCACCAGCTACAACAATCACCAGGAAACCAGCTGGGTTCTCACAACTTAACACAGACGGATCCCATGTCGCAGCTCCCATCGTACATGCCCCTCCCTCCTCTGGCACTACCACAGTTTGTAATTATGTTTCATTGTGTGATTATTGGATTAATGTCTGCCTCCCCAATGAGCATGTAAACTCCAGGAAGTTGGGTGAAGGGTGAAGACTGTGCACTTTGCTCCCTGCTGACTTCTTAGCTTCTAGCACAGTGCTGGGCACATGGTAGGGAGGCAATAAAGGCTTGTGGATGAATTGCTGAATTTGATATTTTACGTACACCAGAGCCTTCTTGTGTAGGCTGTATCATATGAGCTTTGGAGCAGCTCTTTAAGGTAGATAGACATTTAAATACCCATTTTACAGGTAAGGAAATGGAGGCTCAGACAAGACAAAGCTTGCCCAGGTGCTCTTTAGTCACAGAGCCAGAATTAGAAACCAGGTGTCTGCTATCTACACTCAGCAATCTATACTCAAACGATGATGATGATAGCTAGCATATAATAAGTAGTTTCTACCAAGTCAAAAGGTTCCATGAGCTCTCTGTAGCCACCTTTCACCCCATTTATAGCAACTTGGCTGGTGCAGAGTATCTTGGATCCTGACTCCCCAGACATCATCCACCAGGAGTTACTGTTAGGGACCAGGCTACCTCTGTATCTAGAGCCCCATCCCACCCCCAGCTGCTCCTCCACTGGAAATAATGAAAAGTCAGGCTGCTGAGTTCCAGCCTTCCCCAGAATCCCAGGCAGCTCCCTCCCCCGAGCCTGGGGAGGTCCTCACCAGCAGGGATGCAAGACTTGACAGGAATGAGGCTGGCAGCAGGGAGGGGAGGACCATGAGGACATGAAGGCAGACGCTGCCCAGGAAGGGGGAGCATGGGGGTGGGGGAGCTCAGCCCCGGGCAGGGCCACACACGCACACCTCCAGGAGGCTCCGCTCAGGGTGCCAGCATGGCCCGCACCAGCGTGCACCCTTCCTCCTGCACCTGTGCTGGGGGAGGGGCACATTCTCATCTCACCGGTCATAGTCCCCGTTGCAGAGCGCTCTCACAGGAATGGAGAAGGTTTGCCACACTGGGTTTAGGGTGTTCTTCATGACCTCAGTCTTGTGGCAGATAGTGAACCTGGTAAAGAAGAGAAGGAAAGTGTCAGGCCGAACCCAAGGGAGGCAGAATCCAGGTCAACAGAGGGACCAACCTATTAACCCTTGCATTTGCAAGACAGGGCAAACTGGCTTCGTGAAGGGATGAGGTGCCCATCACTAGCATTTTCGGCAGAAACTAGATGGCCATTCCTTGGTGATGCTTCAGAGAGGATTTCTACACAGATGGGGAATGTCAGGAGATGCAGGTTCTGACCCCTGCTCTCTGTGTGACCTTAAGCAACCCGTCCCTCTCTGGGCCTCTATTTCCTCACCTCTAAACCCAGGGAGTTGGCCACTGTCAGACACTCTTTATCTGAAATCCACAGAAGCTGTTGATGGGCTTTAGGGGTCTGGGATCCCTTGAAATTGTGCAGGAAATTGGGTGTTGGCGTTTTGCATGCTTGCTGTTTGCCTGCCTGGAGCACTCTCTGCCCACGTCCACATTCATGGCTCACCAGCTCACTTCCTTCAGGTTTTTACTCAAAGGTTACCTCTTTGACATGAGTGCCTGCTCTGAGCACCATATCTAAAATTTACAACCCCCTTGGTCTCCTGACTGACATCCCCTAGTCCCCTCCTACACTTTTTTTCCCGTTTAACCTGTCAACATTTGACATTTGACATGGCACATTTTTCTCCTTATTTATTTTATGGTCTGTTACTAAAATGTAAGCTCTGTAAGGGCAAGGGTTTTGTCTTCTTTGATCAGTGTCTGGCACTAGTGTCCACTAAGTATTTTTTTAAATTAACTAATGAATAGATGTATTTCTCAGGGGAGAGTTTCCATAGCTTTCACTGGCATTTCAAACCAGTGAAAGTAAAGCCCTCCGCTTAGATGATTTTTAAGACCTTTCAGCTCTTTCAGTCTGAATTCATGAGCTTGTTTTGCAGACTCAAAGTGCAGGGTGGGCTTATCCCAGCTAGGCCCCATCCCCGCCCACTCCCCAGGCCATGCCTGGCTGGCCCCATCCTGCCCTGCCACATGGAGGGGCAGCTAGGAGCCAGAGTAGAGCTAGAGTGGACCTAAGATTTCCCAGCAGCCATCCCAACTGCCTCCCAGCTTGGAAAGGTCACCCAGAAAAGTGCATGGGGCCCATCCATGCCCACACAGCCTGTGCCATTTCTTCTCTGGCAATTTTCAAGTCAAAATGTCATTCCTGTCATTGCAGCTCAGCGTTTCTCTTCTCTGCTCCTTCTCATCCACCCACTGGAGTGTGGAGATACATGTGGGAGACCTCCCCACACACGCCAGAGCTGGTGACAAAGACAGAAATGGGGATGTGGAAGGAGGAGGCACTGCTACAAACTCATGGCTGGAACAGGCAGGCAGAGCAGGAGGAGGAGGAGGGCTGGGAGAGACAGGCAGGAGGAAGAATCAGGAGTAGAACTGAGCAGTGAAGGAAGGGAGGCACACACCGTGCAAAAGCCCTAACTGGCTCCAGAGGCCTCCAGCCTAGATCAGTCACAGACATACAGACCTGCTGTGCATCCTCCCAGCCCCATCTCTTTGGAACCATTGGCTTATCGGTCTCCTCTCCCTTGCCAGCCAAACTTCCTGACCAGGTCTTCTAAGCAATCAGCCCAACTTCCTCTCTATGTGTTTCTTCCTGAGCCCTGTGTAGTCTGGTTTCTGCTTCACACTCTTGCCTCCCCAACCCAGCACCAAATCCACAGGCCCCTTGACCCATTGCACTTGCCATGGGAGACCAGGCTCCATTCAATTCGTTTCAACACACACTCGGGGCTTGGGACAGGACAGCACTAACCAGTGGGGTCAGACAGATCTGGGCTCCAGTTCCAGGCCCACTACTACCAGTTGTGCAGCCCTAGGCAAGTGACTTTCTCTCTCTGAGCTTCCCTTCCATTGTAAAATGGGGATACAAAGGGTAGCTAACGCTGCCAAGCCCTGTTCTAATTACGCAAATTAACTTATTTGGTTCTTACAGCATCCCCATCGTACATCCCAAGAACTAAGTCACAGAGGTTATAGCTGCACTGTCCAAATTGGTAGCCACTGGCCACATGTGGCTATTTACATTTAAATTAACTTAAATTACAATTAAAAATTCACTTCTCGATGACTGGTTAGCCAGAGATGGGTAAGATTCCTCAAGGGAGGAACAACCTAAGACAGGCACAGTCGCAGGGGGGCCATCAGGTGAGAAATTGGGGATCAACAGAGGTGAGGCTTAGAACCTCACCCCCTGTTTTGAGAGAAATCTTCTGCATCTGTGGATATTTTGTTGCCCTTGTCTAGCTTGGATTAATACTTAGTCTATAGGCACACACCTGATCATCTACATTTGCCCTCTTACAGCACTAAACTATGTTTTCTACCTTTATCTTGCATCTACCTACCACTTCAGCATTTTATTAAAAATAAAAATAATAATAATAATA